GGTTATATGGTTGAGGACGGGGCTGGGGAGGGAGGGGAGAGGGAGAAATGTTTCTGATAAAGCTTGTCTTTGAAATTTTGAGAGGAGATGACGTACTCCATTGTTATCTGGCGCCCCACTAGACACAAATATGTTATTTCAAAGGGAACAAATTTGGCCCGTTGGTTATTAAGAGAGAGAGAGAGAAAAAAAAAAAGAAGAATGCAGGGAAGAAGGCAGAGCCGGCACACAGAGATAGGCATCCCTTGTTTTCATCGATCCTAGTATTTTAATAATCCTTATTCCGCCATTGTAGGGGTTGCACGTTCTGCTGATGCTCAGTGGGTACCGGGTATCCACCCAACTCAACCCAACTGCTAACGTATAATACTGTATCGCCTCTAATCTCATCTTACCTTATATATATACTCATCCATGTTTTCTTTCTTTGCCCCCTCCCTCCTCCCTATTTTCCCCCCAGAAATGTTCAAACGTAGCACCCTGAATGAGCTCATCCGTCGTCTGATGGCGATGAGGGGACATCACTACAGCGACGGGAGAGCAACAATGATGCGCTTCGGAGCAGGCAGGAGAAAATAGTTACGTCCTTTAGAACTTTCACGCACGTTGTATTTCGTGGCGAAAGCATTGTTAGTGGTTAACGATTGTAGAAACACCCTCCACTCGCCCACGTAAAGTAGAATTAACTAATAAATATATCAAACTTGGCCCATTCCATGTTTTGACGTCTTCTGCAAACAAACAAAAAAGTCCCATATATAATGAACATTGAAGACTTTAAAGAAACTTAATTACTTCGAAGTGGTGACCACAAATTGCGTCACCCAATTAATGCTTATCAATCATCTTATCCCTATAACTGTTCAAGCATAAACAAGGATAACTCGAAGTTATTTTGTCCTTAGGGGATTCATTGTGAGAATGTTTTGAGAAAAAGTAAGGCTAGTTTAACACCGATCTCGTGTGTGGTCCGTCGGCCTTGGCTTCCTTTTTAAAATAATAAAATTTTGTTTACCTACACAACCTAAGGAGAAAGAGAGGGAAGGTGTTATCAAGAAAAGCTAGAGAAATTGAAGAATTCGCCCAAGATGTTCTGTTAGACATTCTGGGTTCTTTCATCTTTCGGGTTGTTGTTTTTTTTTAAGTTTATCAAATGGCTACAAGAAATACTTTATTATTTCACATCGACTGTCCACTATCCAAGACAAAGACCCATGTATGATGTGGGTTTGGTGAATAAAAGTACTCTCAAAATACATGCGTTTCGAATTTTGTTATTCTTTTATTAGTGCGAGGATGGAAGTGTTTGGAGGAGCAACTGACAGCTCCTGATTCTTCACTATCCCTCTGCTGTTTCCTTTTTCTACAATCTCACCCTGATACTTGACGTTAGGCTCAGGTCTGAAGATCCCCCACCCTTTCCTCCTTCCTCCCTCCCACTCCCATCCCCTCAAACCCAAACAACAACAACAACAACAATAACAATAACAAACAACAGCAACAACAGCAACAACAGCAACAACAACAACAACAACACTCAGTACACTCAGTACCCTCAACCCCCACCCCCACCCCTAGAACAATCCCGCCCTCCCCAATCTCACCCTGACACTTGGCGTTAGGTTCAGGTCTGAAGAAGCCGTCTAGACAGACACAGACATATCCGCCCGCAGTGTTACTACACTCCTCATGATCTGTGACGTTACAGTTGTTGCCACTCGCCATCGAGCACTCGTCGTCATCTTCTGAACAGTCGTCACCATGCCAACCGTGGTGGCAGTAGCAGGTGCCGTTCACTTCGTCGCAGCGTGAGTGCGCACTGTTGCACGTGCACGACTGCGCGCAAGACGCACCGAACCAGTTGTCGGCACATTCTGTCAGAAAACGCAGCAGAGGGAGAATTAACATCAATTATAGTTTTAGTAAGAGCTTTACGGCACTTGCAATACAATAAGGTCATATAAGTGCCGAAGATTAGAGGTACTACAAGAGAGTAGCAAACACAAACAAGAAGGAGGAGAGATCAGGACTATAGATGTTTGATAGGAAAGAAGGAGCAAACCACACCAGAGCACCAGCCAACCACCCACAACTAACACCAAAGTAGAAATTCTTTGATTCGAAGAGATAACATTTGGGAGCTCAGGAATTGTGGACTGTAATGTTCTTTAAAATTTGAAAAATAAAAATAAACAGCCACAGTTCCGCCACTGATCCCCATTGGAAAATGCATGCATGCATTAATATAATATAATATGCATACCATTTATATACTTACACACACACACGCATGCACTTGCACACGCATACATGTACGAACAAACGCACGCACGCACGCACACAATCCATCCATCTACCTATCCATCCATCCATCCATCCATCCATCCATCCATCCATCCATCCATCCATCCATCCATCCATCCAAACAATAACACACGCACAACAAAGACACACAGACACACACACAGACACACACACAGACACACACACAGACACACACACAGACACACATACACACACACAGACACACACAGACACACATACACACACATACACACACATAGACACACACACAGACACACACACACACACAAACACACACACACACACA